GTTGATTATATGTAATTATATATGCTTTGATCTAATAAAGATACTGGCGAGGCTGCCGATAAAGGAAAAAAAAAATAATAATAATTCTCTTTGAGGTAGTGAATAAATACTGTTCATTACATATCTTTTAGATTGGATATTTTAGTTTAAATAACCAAGAAATAAATAATTTTTTTCTATTTTATATACTAAATGTAAAATAAATTGTATCATGATATATATATCAATCTGATTGGTTATCGATCCTTATATGTATGCTTATGATCTGATTATTAAAAGTAACTAATAGAATTTAAAGATCAGTACTATACTTTATTGATGAATCAAATTTAGTATTATAAAAGTTCAGAATTTAAGCAATTCTTTCGAAAAATTAGTCAAAAATGAGTGGCTTAGTGGTTGCTTATTTTCTGACATATATGGTAGTCTTAGAATAATTTTTATATCTCTATTCAAGTAAATATAGCTATTTTTGTATATAGTTATTTTTCTGATAGTTATCTTTCTTTAATTTCAAAACTTGAAATAATATTATTTTTAATATGTTTTATAAATTTGTAAATAGTAAATTCAAACTTGTTTATCTCTAAATATTAAACTACTTGCAATTTGAATTTTTTATTATACAAGAGAAAAATATATTTTATATAGCAACTGTATTTTAATTTTATTAGCTTATTGTTATTTAGCTATTAGTTTTTTTAAAACTGAATAAATCATACATACTATAGACTTTTGCCAATCAATGCTCTAAACTAAAAATTTACTTGCTATCATTTTTTAAATCCCTAATTATAAACTAAATAAAAAAATTATTAGATCATATGAAGATGCAAGTTAACAGTTTCAGTATTTAGTAATATATCTAGTAATAATAGTTTAGACTTATTATTAGTTAAGATATTTTGATTTATATAATCATTTCTTTTAAATAAAATGAAAAGGCTGTAATTTCTTTCAAGAAGGTATTCTGTTTAATAAATTTATTATTCTTATCAGAATTATTTCATTATTATTATTAAAATATATATAATGCTTTGATAAAGATTGTAATGATTTATTTTTTTAATATATTATAATAGCTTTTTGAAATGTCTTGTATATTTATTTAATCTTGTTATTGATAGAGATTGGAATCGAAGTTAAGTTTTAAATTCAAACTTATTTAATTTGAATTCGAATCAATTCGAATAATTCATATAAATTTATATAAAATTCGAATTTATTGATTTGTATATTGATTCGCATAAATAGTTTAAACTATTAATAACTATTAAAACAGTTTAATAACAATTAAACTATTATAATAATTAAGCCATTAGAAGATTTTTTATAATAGGTAAACTATTAGAACAGTTTTATAATGGTTAGATTGTTAAAATAATTTTATAATAGTTATAATATACTGTTAAAACAGTTTTATAATGGCTAAACTGTTAGAATATTTTTATAACAATTAGGCTATTAGAGCAGTTTTATAATGATCAGACTGTTAAAATATTTTTATAACAGTTAGACCATTAGTAACAGTTAGACTCTTAAAACAGCTTTATAATAGTTAGGCTTGACAGTTTTATAGCAGGCTATTAGAACTAGAGATGTTAACAGCTTGATCTGGATTGTATATTTATTACATATTATAAAAAACTGATTAATAAACAGAGTCGATTGAGTCATTAGTATCCCTAGTTAGTCAATAATATTACAATATATATATATAATCAGTATAATTTTAAAAATAGTTATCTTATAGCTTAAAACTTTCTTATGAAATACATATGAGTTTTATTACTATATTATCTTTCTAATATTGATTGTTTATTATCTTGACAAGTCTTTTTTTTTAATTATTTAAATAACATTCTAACTCATTTTTCAATTCTCACAAGTTATATTCTGTAGACTTAATGAAGTTTTCGGCTAATAAATTTATAACTCTAATTATCAGTAATCATAATATAAGTATTCTTGTTTGAAATTTTCAAAACAAGATAATTCGATTCTAATTTTTTATGAGTATAATTCTATATCTCCAACTGATAAAAAAAGTTAAATTAAAATTTTGATATAACTAAGAACACTTAATTTATCTAGTACAGTCAGACTTCTCTAAATACATCTTCCAAAAACCAAATTTTAACAACATGCACTTAGAGAATAATAAGAAAAAAGTGTATTTATGAAGGTTATATATATATTTGGACTAGAACTGCACATTTAAAAAGGTATTTATATTTAGACCCACTGTAATATGACAATTATAAATTTTAATATCCTTAAATACATATCTTCTCTAAAAGTATTTTTTGCCTTTTTGCCTTTTTTCTTAGAGAGGTCTGATTGTATCAAAGTTTGTAATGAAAAATTTTATGTTAATTAAATATATTTGCATATATATTTAGAAATGCCAAGTGAAAATAGCTTCTTTAAAATCTTGACTTTTAATATGATAAGTCTCTTGTAAATTATCAGTTATTAAATAGGAATAAGAAAATTTAAATTTAATGGAACATCAACCAAAAAAATATTATATTATAATGAAAAGCATATGAAAATAGTCAAACATATTGATTGAATAATTCCGCATTATTATAGAAATTAAAGGTGAGCTGGGCATAAAAATTAAATTCACTAAAAAATTCACGTATACGTGATTACTAAAGACTGCATTTTAGATATTCAGGTGTATATATTAATTTTATATATGCTCTCAAATTTTCATATAAATGTTCGATTTGGGGTATAAATATTATAATTTTGGTGTTTATGTTTTTAAAAATTAAAATGTATATAAGAACCTTAAATTTAATAAATGAAAGAGTAGTTTTTTTTCATATCCACTTTTGTAAATTTTTTCTTTTTTCGAATTCGACTTCTAATTTTAATAAACCTATTTGAGGCTCAATTAAACAAACTAAATTGACTTGTAGCTTCAACTAGGCTTATTAAAACTCATATTTGTAGAATTAAATATTACTATCACATTGTAAAAATTGTGATAGAAAACAAGAATTACGAGATTCTGTTGATCAGATATGAACTTAAAATTATTATTGATATCACTTGATCATCATCTGCATATATTAACATCCTTATTAAAATATTACCAAACATCTTCACTGTTCTTAAAATCACTGATACATCATTATCCTTAATATTATCACATCTAATCTTATCACATTATTTTCATCATCTATTGATATCAAAAGTATTCATTCTATAGTATCATATCATCTAATTAGTCTTTTAATAGTTATAAAAGATCTACTTCGCTTTTCAAAAATTTATCATTAACTTCTTGTACACTATTGGAGTTAAATTGGTCTTTTATTTATATTATTTTATTAATCTTTCCTATTCAACAGTTACAATAACTTAATTTTTTGTATAGTTATTTATCTTATTACTATCCTAACCTTGATTGATACTTTTTTTTTTGAATTTAATCTGATCTTAAAATTGATTTATAATAAATCCTTAATTTTATTTGAAACATTATCATATCTTGGTAAATTTAATAACAATTTTAATATCTGATTAGAAATTTGATGTATAAATTTACAAATTACTTAACAATAATATAATAGTAATAAATCTATGAAAAATAACTATCTGAATCTATATTGAAGTATTAATAAAATGTCAAAAAGATAATTTTACCTATCTCAAAACCAACTGACTATAATTTTAATTAACTAGAGGTAGAAAAATATTATCAACATGTTCTTTATTTCTTTTTAAAAAAAGCATATGATTTACCAAATCTGGTCATAATCTAGTTTGACAAGCTAAAATGTGAGCATTAGTATCAGAAAACAACCTTTAACTTGAAACTGATATTGTAAGAAGACCAAGATAATCACATGCTAATAATAATAAAATTGAAAAAGTATTCTTATGATCATTCTACCAAACTAGTGGATTGTCGATTGGTTTTGCTTCTAGAAGATACATATAGTGAGAAATCTCATTCTTTTCAGTCTGAATTATTTCTCGAGTTGGAGCCCACATATTATTAAATATAAGATCAATATTTGTATCATTATTTATGTCTTGTGTTGCTGATAAAATATTATCTTGATTATCTTTTAATTCTTGATATTTATTTCTAAGTTTTTCTTGAATATCGATATGTTTATTTTGATTAACAAATCGAAGACCTTTAAAACGAGGATCTAAAATTGTGGCCAAAACCACAGTTTCTTCTAGAATATCCCACAATTCATCAAGAGAAAGATAAATTGTAGCTTTAATTTTGTTTAAAAGTTCACTTAAATCTATTTTATTATATTTACAACTATGCTTACCATAATATTTATAACTATATTTACGATT